CGTCGACCCACCCGCAAAGGTGAAGAAGAAGGCGCCAAGGAAGTCACGGTCGGAGTGCACACCGGAGGAGATCGCCAAGTTGGACGCGGAATCGGTGAAGAGGAGGGAACAAAGAGCGGTCGTCAAGGTCAATGTCGCCGCGGCCAAGTTCGCCGCCTAGCGCGATGAGCTGGAGGCCGTGCGGCGCAAGGCCGCGGACGACGAGAAGGAGGACCTCGCCAACAAAGCGCATGCCATCCTCATGCTTGGCATGGGCCATCCGACCGGGTTCCCTGGAGTGGCCGTCGGCCCGGCGAGCACAGGCTCGTCGGTCGCCCGGCCTACGCACTGCCAGTCGCCGACCTCGCGCACCACGCCCATGTCGCCCGGCTTTCCTCCGCCAAGGCACGGCGGCCAGACCCGTTTCTCGGGGTCGCCGGACGTGGGCTTGTTCGTGCCGTCGACACCGCGCCCCGCGACCGTCATCGACCTCAACGTCACGCTTGGGTCCAGCAGCGGTGGCCGGCCGTCCGTCGAGATGCAAAGAAAGTAGGCACGGGCACCGTTCACGGGCACCATGCCGGCCCCCGGCGTCTTGTTTGACAGAATGCCAACCCCAACGCCAACGGTCGATGACCCCTTCTGCAACCAGTACATGGAGGACGTGATCTTCGAGGGTGGGCATGGCCATGCCTACGACCCCGAGGAGACCCAAAGTCAGGACGGTCGTGCCAACTACGTGCCCGATGAAGAGGCCAACGACCGTGCTGACTACGACCATGGTGACTCGTGGCATGAAGACGATGACATCTATGTCGAAGGTGATGGTGATGAAGAAGAAGGCAATGACATTGATATTAGTGGCGAGCCATTGTTCATCGACGATCTCACCCAAAGAGCGGAAGCACAAAAGAAGAGGAAGAGCATTCGCACGGGTTCATACACACAAGATGAGGACAAGTTGATTTGCCAAGCGTGGATGGAGATTAGCCAAGATCCAAGGACCGGCGCGCAACAAAAGGGCATTGTTTTTTGGACAAGAGTCTACAAAACATTCAATGAAAGGAAGATGTTCGAGCCCTACCAAATTACAAGCAACTGTGGCATCGGCTCGATTCAAAAGAGATGGTTGTTCATCCAACAAGAGTGCAACAAGTATCAAGCCGCATTTGAGAGCGTTCAAGCACGGCCCGTGAGTGGTCTCGGCGTTGGGGACATGGTATGCTCTCCTCTTCCAAGCCCTTTCCTTGCTACGGCCATGAGACTTCGGCCTTGTATATGTTTGCATGTTCACTTCTTGTTGATCATGTGTTGTAGGCATTTCAATCTTTGGAGGCATTCAAGGCCCGGCACAACGACAAGCCATTCACTCTTACGCATTGTTGGACGCTCATCAACAATTTCCCTAAGTTCAAGGATCAATACCATGAACTACAAAGGAAGAGAGGACTGAAGACAGCCAAGTTCACCGGAGGTGGAGATGGCGAGGCGTTGAAGAGGCCGAGGGGCAAGACCAACTCCAAGGTTGATGACATACGTGATGCCTCATCCATGGCATTGCATGACACTTTGCATGGCATGATATCTCAAAAGGATGTGAGGGACGAGAAGAAGCGGCGAAGCAAGGACGAGCAAATGAAGCAATACCTAGACCTTCAAAGAAAGAAGCTTGAGATGGAGGAGGCGGACAAGAAGAGGAAGATCGATATGGAGGAGGCGGCCCGGTAAAGGCAGCTCAACATGGAAGAGGCCACCCGGCAAAGGCAGCTCGACATCGAGGCCGACAACGTCAAGGCCAGGCAGAGGCAGCTCGACATCGAGGCCACCAATTCCGCCACCAAAGCGACGGAGGTGGCCCTTACGATCATGAGCGTGGACTTGTCGAAGATGAGCGACAAGACGAGGGCCTGGTTCGAGGCCAGGCAGAAGGAGATGCTCGACGCCGAAGGCCTGAACTAGGTCGTCCGATCGGTGTGGTCGTTCTTTTTGGAGGCTGGCATGGGTGCCGCCCGCTCGCTGGGCCGCTGGCAGTGTGCTGGCGAGAAAACATTCATTTTGGAGGACGGCTGTGTTGTCGGCCGCTGGCTGTGTTGCCGACGAGGACAACTATTCATTTTGGAGGCTGGTTGTGTTGCCGGCCGCTGGCGATGGACGTGTAGGCCGCTGGCTTTGTTGCCGGCGTGATGAACTGGGGCCGTGAACTAGGGCTTGGCATTTGAAACGATGCTCTCTTCTTTTAAATAGACGCGGACAGGATGGGGCAAACAGATGCGGCCGCGCGCTGGGTGCACGGCCACCGCATCCCAGGAAACGCCCGGACACGACCCTAAATCTATACCCAAACGGACAGAATCCGGACAAAACGGACGTCTGTTTGGGGTCGCGCAGTGGAGTTGGCCTTATCCTAGATAAAGCAAAACAGGCAGGTTATGTTAAAGGGGTCTTAACTGAGCTAGGAGATGATGGGGTGAATATGCTGCAATATGCAGATGACACTACCTTCTTACTTAAAGATGATGAGGAGAGTGCAAGAAATTTAAAGTTTATACTTATTGCCTTTGAGCAGATGTCTGGCCTGACCATTAACTTTCACAAAAGTGAGGTTTTCCTATTTGGAGAGGCAATTAACAAGAGTGACATTTATCAGGAAATCTTTACTTGCAAGAGGGGGTCCCCTTTCAAATACTTGGGACTCCCTGTGACTAATGTAAGGCTGGGAAATAAGTTTTGGAAAGGTGTCATAGAGAAAATAGAGAAAAGATGTGCATGCTGGCAGGGGAGGCTTCTTAATATGGCAGGGAGAGTCACCCTTGTACAAGTATGTTTGACAAACATGCCAATATACATGATGTCCTTTTATCCCCTAACAGTGGGAGTGAGGAAGAAAGCTGATTTTTTAGAGCAAGATTAGTATGGCAGGAAAATGAAGATAAAAAGAAACACCATTTAGTAAATTGGAGAACTTGTTGTCTCCGAAAAGATTTCGGTGGTTTAGGGATCTTAAACCTAGAGCTAATGAATAAAGCTCTATTGCTAAATGGATGTGGAAACTAGAGACAGAAGATGGAATGTGGATTAAAATCCTTCTTAATAAATATGTGAAAGGGAAATGCATTTCTGGGATAAAAAAGAAAGCTGGAGATTCTCAATTCTAGGGGAGTGTCATGCAAATAAAAGATATATACTTTCAAAATGTGAAGAAGAAATTGGGAGATGGAAAAAATACTCGTTTTTGGGAAGATTGGTGGGTGGGTTCCAAACCATTAAAAGTGGCCTATCCAAGTCTATATTTTATCAATATAAACCATAACATATCTGTGGCTGAAGCCCATTGATATGGGATGGGCTGGATTCAAATTCAGAAGAATCTTACTGGTGATAAACAGGCCTTGTGGGATAGTTTGAGAGACAGATGTGAGAGGGTTAGGATGTATAAAGGCAAAGATCGACCACAATGGATGTTAACAGCCGACAGACAATTCTATGTCAGATCACTTTTATCAATCCCTGGTTAAAGTTGATGTGGGATTCCCACTTAAATATCTCTGGAAAATAAAAATTCCAGCAAAGATTAAAATGTTTCTATGGCTCATTGCCAGAAAAATGTACTGACTAAAGATAATCTAATCAAAAGGGGATGGAGAGGGAAACAAGGGTTTGTGTTCTGTGGTCAGGATGAAACCATTGATCACTTGCTTTTTACATGCTCAGCTGCTAAACTTTTGTGGAGCTGGATTAAGTGCTCCTTTAATTTGAGAACCTCTCCTAAGGGAGTAGATGACTACCTGGGACCTTGGGTTAAAAGCTTTGTTGATAGAGAAAAAAGACTAGTGCTAGTTGGGATTTCTGCTATCACGTGGGCGATCTGGAAATGCAGGAATGATATTACTTTTCGAGACAGAAAGATCAATGATCCTATGACTCTGATCAAACTAACTTGCAATTGGCTTGTGGATTGGGCTGTTTGCAGGAAAAAAAAACCAGAACAAAACCTACTGATGCTTGGGGCAAGGCTAATTGAGCGAGTAGCAAGTGAGGTCTACAAGGCGTCGCAGGGATGGAGAGCTGGGGTGCTGCGGCTGAACTAGACCGACATCATCTATCTTTAGTTTCTCTTGCTTCTGCTGAGGCTGCGGCCTCTTGATCTTTTGTCCGCGTGTGGCCCTTATGTTGAAAACTTGTTTTGCTGTCTGGTCTATTGCGAACTGCCTTTCTTTGGGTACTCTGCAGTTTAGTTTCGTTTAGATCTAGGTGGTGGTGGATCGTTGAACTTGACACAGTGCATCTGGTTTCGTTAATGAAATCGGAGGGGTGTCCCCCCTCTTTTGCTCAATTTTTTTCCATTTTTTCAAATCATTACTATAACCGTTGCATTACAAAGCTACTCCCTCTGTTCTAAAATATAAGAGTGTTTTTGACACTACACTAGTGCCAAAAACATTCTTATATTATGGAACGGAGGGAGTACTTTATTTTATCATATAATGAACCGTCCCTAAAAAATAGTACAATGAACCGGACCTGCACAGTAGAAAGAATAATTGTTTCCCAGAACAAAAACTCAAAAAGATATGAATAATCAAACGATAGACTATACAAATCGCAACATATAAAATGATACAGTAGTAGAATAAGAGCACTACTTCGACCATTAACTGCGTGACAGCTTGAGTGCGACGGAATGACGGGTGATCACAGCGACGCCTGAAAGGCAGCACGCTATAAGATTTCTATAAGCTCACGGCTGAGTTGTTGGATTTTCTGTCGCTCTCTCCCGGCACCCGAAATCTTTGGCTAGATTACACAGGTCAGGGTGGGCAGCCACCGTTTGCGCTGTGGGTGCCGCACGAGGGCCCCGCCCCCAACCGCTGAAGGTACATTTGCCGGAGAAGCTGCACCATCACACCGTCGCCGGAGTCGGCGACGGCTGCCCCGGTCGGCTCCCACACGTCGCCGCTGAGTCGTCGAGCCGCGCCGGAGACTGCGAAGAAGGCCACGATCATCAGGAACACCAACGGCACAGCAGCAAACCTTGTCATCCTCGATCGAGAGCACTGGGAATCAAGTGTGTCTCCCCTCTTCTTGCTTGTATTTGTATGTACGTACGGCTCGATCAACTCCGCCGATCACAGCTATCCTTGATCCTGATCAACTCGATTAATTTGGGGTGATGCGTATATGAATGCATCTGTAGCTCTATATAGGCTTCTCGGAAGAGTCCGATGCTGCATGTTCACGTGTGCCGTTACGAGGGAGGCACTGGTGACGAGAGAAGGCACCATGGTCATTGCGAGGATGTTACAGGATTTCAGTCAGGAATGATTCTAAGACGCACTAGCTTCACATGCTAATTGGCTTGCTACTAGTACTAATTAACTACTCACTATCTAAGATGACGACAATTATGTTTGTTAATTTTGAGAGGACCTGTTCATGTCGTCTTGTTTGGTCTACGCAGCCACTTTTAACTATACTTTTAAGTGCTTCACTTTAATGCAATGCTAAAAATAGTACTCTGCATGCATGCATATATAGCGAATACGGCGAAAAGCCGGAGACCGGTGGCCTGCACGGTCGGCGAAAAGTCTCTCGATCGAGACTAACGATGATTTTTGCGGCGCAAGGAACTATATTTGTGTTCTAAAAATACTACAGTACTATTTGTGTAGTCATCGAGAAAATATCGCCAAACAGGAACCCTTTTGCCAACGTGAATGGCCTTTTAGGTTTATCGTGTTTGGCTTCTAAATTTACTACTATACTAGCCGTAAACCCGTGTGGTGCTAGTTATCATGGGAACGCATGAAGATATTAATACTTCCATTGTCTTAAAATGTAAAATGTTTTTTGACACTATTTTGAGACGGGAGAGTAGATATACAGACATTTAAATGTTTTAAATATTGGAAAAATCCAGTGACACCTATTAAATATTAGGATTGACATCATTTAACATTTACTTACCAAATGGAAAAATGTCTGAGATTGGTTAGTTCGGAGAAGGACATAAGTAAATCATAGGTCAAATTCAGAAAAATAATCCCACTTGGAGCGTACACTACATCATACATTCCCGTGTCCTGGTCAAAATATAAGGAAAAATGCATTCTGATATATGTTTGCAAAGCAGTATAAATATATTGAAATATAATTTCGGCTTTGATGTGAACTTTTGCACTCTGGTATGTACTTCATCCGTCACGGTTTAGAAGGCGCGCTTGGAAATTCTCTGGAACCTAGGTGGTTATCTATTGGTTGTGAGATGGATTAAAAAATAGCATTCACACTACGCATGCATATAGAAAATAGTACATCGGAGTACTAATTAGCTACTAGAAATAAATGCAATACGCCATAAACCTGTCTATTGTGGAAACGCACGCAAATTTAACTGTGCCTTCTAAACTGTGACGGAGGGAGTATTGAAGGAGCCTCATTATTTTACTTAACCCCATTAGGTGGAAAGGTAAACAAAATTTTTGTTGATAATACAAATAGTAGAGAACCATAAAATGGTTTGCGGAGCAAGAATCTCAAAGATGAAAGCAAAAAAAAATGCAGTCATTTGTTCATATTAACATCTGAAAGAAAATTTTCACCTATATATTATTAAAAAAAATCAAACAATCAGGTAAAAACATTTGATCACGTGATGTTTAACACATGCACCACATTTACTGTCTTTTGTTTTTGCTTTACAAACGAGGAATTACAGCCTAATTAACAGGTATAGTATGATGTCACCATCTTTACAAAACACCATGAGTTATTAATTAAAAATCCCCTAAACATTAGCCACGAAACAGGAGAATGACCACAATAAGAAAAATTACTAGGTGATTCCACATGTTCATTTGTTAGCCATCTGAAGTATATCAAATATAAGAATATTTGTCTACGAAAAGTAAAGCAGACATTAGTTTGTACGAAAGTAGCGAAGCAGACAAACTATTTACCCATAGCATCCAGATGCCCATAGTCGATACAACGTGATGATTTAAAAGGTTTAAATGATATTTGGAAAAATATATTAGGTAATTATAATCACTATATACTTATAAAATTTAAACTATTTGACTCATTATTATAATCAAGTAAAAGATCCACACAAGGCATTTACAAAAAAAGTCAATCATCTATCTAAACAAAATTTGAAAGGGCTATCTCTGAAAATAAAATGTAGTTAACTGCATTCGCAATGCATCAAAATTACAAACCATTTTTTCTAACAAAATAGTACACCACCTAGACATTGTCTTATGAGGGGATTCCATTAGACCGTTATCATAACAAAGCCAGAGAGAAACTTTTGTGCGGGGAAATAGTGACATATGCAGATCTGAGGGGGTAAAACGAAAAATC